CCGAAAAGCTTTCGGAAATTCTCATTTAAAATTCGCGCGCTGTATATTTTCCGATATTTTAAGTTTATGTAGTTTGGCAGCACTGTCCTTAATTACTATGCCAAAAATGAGCGCGATCTGTCAGACAGTTCGTTTACGGCAGCTGTTGAAACCAGTTCACCTCAGTAGGGCGTTGCGAAAAAAACAATGGAAAAAAATATTGAACAAAGAGTTTGCATCAAATTTTGTGTTTCGAACGAAATTTCGTGTGCAGAATCGTTGCGAATGCTACAAAAGGCTTATGGGGAATCAGTTTTATCGAAAACTCAAGTTTATGAGTGGTACAAAGCCTTCCAGGACGGTCGTACGACCGTCGAAGACATTTCGCAACGCACTACTGAGGTGAACTGGTTTCAACAGCTGCCGTAAACGAACTGTCTGACAGATCGAGCTCATTTTTGGCATAGTAATTAAGGACAGTGCTGCCAAACTACATAAACTTAAAATATCGAAAAATATACAGCGCGCGAATTTTAAATGAGAATTTCCGAAAACTTTTCAGTCTTAATGTACAATAGACGTTCACAAATTACAAGTTTTGTTTCTCCGGTAGTTCTTATTTTCGAAATGTTTAAATTTCTGGGCTATTTTTTATAGTGTGAAAGTATGATATTGTATAATTATAAAAAAAGTCATTGTTTTCAATATTTCATAAAGCAATCCGTGATCTTTATTGCTTTGGGTTGATTATTGAACGACCTAAATATTGGACATGAATTTGGGGGTAAAAAACCCACATCTTTTGGACCATTTCATAGTAATTTTTGTTTTCAACAATTACAGAAGAAGAACTAACGATCTAAGAGCACATTTTGTGAGCGTCAACTGTACATATACAAAAATAAAAGCATAAAGCCATGTTTAATACGGCTATGACAGAAGTGTATAATTTAATTCTTACATGAGTTTTAGACATAAATTACAAGTTATATACTTGCTCGAATATATATTACATATAATTATGATATGTATAAAGTACATCAAAATAATTATATAAGATCACAAAAGTATTATATATCATTTTGCAACATATTTATACAGTATTTAGAATAAACTCTGATCAAGTTTTTCACATATACTTTTCAAGATCAGAAAATACACAAAAAGAAAGAAAGAGAGGATAATACAGCAGCATTCCATTTGTTGTAACAATAATTTCACATATAAAAACCAATTAATATTAACACACAATATACTAATTTCGTAGACTACTTATACAACATATCATAAAGAAGTTTGGCATATCTGAGTCGAGAGATATATGATCATTTAATTATATCAAATGATGAATAATTTTATTTATATTTTTAAAGAACGCTACGACAAATTGTACATAAACACTCATTCAAATACAATGTTTTAAAAGAAAAAAAAATATACAACAAATAATATCAATAAATATTATAATGCATTAGCAGAGATAGTACTTTTTTTTTACTCAGAATTATCAAATGTGTTATTAGCTTAAATTATCTTACCTCTTATAAAATTCTCAAGAAAACATTCTATATCATAAGTGATGATATTTTCATTAGCGATGATTTGTTGTGTTCAACATATTCAGCTTAAAAATATTTGTTACGAATATTTAATATATTTACATCCATCCAGAATAATTTTTTCAATATTTCAACTCCAACTTTAAATCTCATATAGAGTAGCAGCTGTTACTAAAGCTGTTCGATTGTTCAACAAAGGTAAATAAAACTGATATGTGTAACTGCATAACTGCAAACAACTTCGTGTATTTGTATGTACAAAATCAATTATGAATAATTTTTAATAAATGTATTATTATTATTGATATCGAACCCTAGCCACCATTACCTAGCGGTAATTTTGAAATTTGATTTCAATCATTTTAGTAAGTTATTTAATTTTTTATTATTATTTTTCATTCGGAATTTAATCATTTTATGTTGATAGTTATAGTAACAAAAAAAATATATTATAACAAATAAAAATTTTTAATTGCAAAGTAATTTCTTGAAAACTTCTCCCACAATTTGCAAATGAAATAGACAACTTCAACCAAATGTTTTTATAATTATTAAATTGAATATTGGGAAAAAAATTTATTTCCGTACAAACGAGTTGATAATGTATTATAGTATATATTATACTATTATATATATTCATTAAAAATATACACAATTATTTAAAAAAAATTTTTATTGTCAGTTGTTATATAGCTGAAAAACAAGAAAATCAAAATTAAACACAATTTATTATAATCACATATATATTTTTTTTTGACACACGTACTTTGACGTACGAATATTTCTCAGATCCCAGAAAATGTTGACCAATATTTTTAATACACCATAAAAATAGTAACAAAAAAAAACATTTTTTATTTTATTAAATTTTTCTATTCCAAATCTTCTCTCTATTTATTGTAAAATAGAAACTAGCGAATAACATATCGTACCCTAAAAAATGTGGTAACTAATTGCCGTTTATCGAAGTTACATTTGGAGTTACATAGTTGTCCAAAAAATGAACTCATTAAACCTGAAAATGTTTGTTTACGTTTAACAAACTCTGTATGTTTTAGAACTTTGTTCACTTTTTAATGTAACAAATATATAGAGAAGTGTTCCCAAGTTTTCGAGAGAGCACTGTATTAAAAAAATGTAATTATGTGATTTAAATCTGCTTTACATTTAGTTTGAGGTCTATTTATTATGTATTTAGAATTCTCTTGATCCATTTTCCACAAAAGTAGTTAGCTCCAAATATAAAATTATTTATTTCAATGTACATATCTGAGTTAAGTTAAGTTTAGCACTAATTGCTTGTTTGAGAGAAGTGAGGGGGTTGGTTCACTTCGTAATTTGCATAAATTCAATTTAATGGGACAGTTCAAATTCAACGAGACAATTTGAATGTACAATTTAATTTGGTAAATTATTATGAGAATTTTTTTTATGATCACTTTTACATCTATTCTTTATTGTTCAATTATTATATTATCTTAAGGTGCCTATGTGGCTCACTTCATATCTCTAAAAACGTTCGTAAAAACCCGTCAGAGTTGCATTTATAACTGCCAAAAACATTTTCTGTAAAGCCAGTCTAAAAATTAAAAAACTTGAATACTCATAGTAAGAATATCATCGAAGTTAACTAAAAAGCAACGTTTACTGCTATTTTCAGTAGAAAAGGGATTAGTCATTGAAGACGTTTCGAGACATTCAAGAGATAGAGACATACGTGAAGTCTGATCGATCCAAAAATATGATCTTTGCAAACATTTATGGAAAAATTAGTAAAATGTGGTTGTTTGCTCATTTTAAATTTATTTTGTAAATCACAACTCAAATCACATAATTATTATGTTTTTTTTTATTTTTTTCAGAATACATAAGGATTTTATTTAAAATTAAAATAGATTAACTGTTTGTAATCATCTAAAACCTGTTCGCAAATGAATATATTTTTATTTAAGATAAATATGTTACGAGTCAAATTGAACTCAATTTATGATTGCGAAATCCATATAAATTGTATGAATAATTTTCCTTGTAATTGATCAAAACCATAAACAAGTCATTGAGATTAATTTAATTTTATAAGTAAGCTGTACCTTGTAGATCTAGAGGATAACTAAGGTAATTTTAACCTTCTAACTATAGATCTTATACTGATTCAACATTTTAACCAATATGTTTTATGTTCATTAGCTTTGTTATTGAATTTTTTTGAAGTATTTAAATATACTTCATATGTTTCATTTTATTTATTTATATTAATATTATTATTATTATAAAAACATTATCTTTATTGAATAACTTCTCCTTATCGGACACTCATCTCTATCGAACAAAAGTTGTTTGAGGATTAATCTGATACAAATAAGAGTGTTTTCACTGTATAAAGGAAATAATTCATTAATATATTTCCTCCTTCCCTTTCCCAATTTCATATAAAACTTATGATTATAATTTGTATGATATAAATTTATTTAAGTTTATTAAGGGTATATGTTGAATGAAATTTTTTACAGTTTATATTTAGTTAAAAATTTTAAAAATATTATTATATAATTAATTTGGTTCTCTTCTTTTAGAACGAACATAATACATTGCAAGAGCATGTCACTTCAATATAAATTTATTTCATTTTTGTTTTTTTTTTTTGTTTTTGTTAAGTTATAAACCAATTTACTAATAACTGAGATTAATTGGTTTAAATTAATATAGCCTAGCTATAGTCAAACCATTCCAATGTAAAAGATAAAAGATATAAATTATATAAATTTATGTTTAAAATATGTGCTTCATACTGTTTAGAGTAAATTGGTTAATAACTATAACCACATTCTGTGTTATATCATTTAAAAGTATTACTTATATTAATATTACCGCTAAGAAGAATGAATACTTAAGTTTTTATTATCTAGTATATATGCTAAAGTTTAAGATTAAAGTTTGGATAATAATTATCTGTTGTGTTAATATATTATGTATTAATTAATATATTAATGTTTTGTTGAATAATTGTGTAGCAATGAAATATAACACATGAACACGAACAGAGATCTACTAAATGATCTTAGACTTCTTCAATAACGAAGTCTGCCTATTATTTAATGAAATTTAATTTTAATTTTTATATGTAGTTTGCAGATACAAAATTTAT